TACTAGCTCGTGGTTGGCTTCCGTGTATGCGACGGGTAAGTGTTACATGTGGGACCTCATATAGCTGCGCAGCACGTCGGATGGACAGTTTGTGGGGTGATTTGGTAGCTTGAAAGGCTAGTAAAACTCGGCCTTCATTAGCTTTCTGAGGCATCTTTTTGTTGTGGTGTGGTGGAGTAATTGGGTTTGAGGTTGCGATGCTATCGGAAAGTGTTTCATTTGGTGGGATGTTCCGTTTGGTGGTAAACCACATTAGATTATAAATCATGATTATGATTAACGTACATGTATAGCGAAAGCGCCAAACAAGCGAAAGCGCCAAAATTATCTACCCTCACGACAAACATTGCGATAAATCTACCACAACATTAGAAATCAATTGAAACTACTCGGAGTCCTCTTCCTCAGAGGTGTCTATTACAATCTGACACGTGCGCGCATTGTGCCCAGTCTCACCACACTTGCCACAGCGACGGGCACGGGTTTCTTCCCTTGGCTTCCGACCACGGCTTGCCCTTATTTCCTGCTCTACCTGCTGCACAACATCCCTCTCATCCTGTAGCTCTTGCGCCCCTTGTTGACTAAGTGATCCTCCTTGCTGTAGTCGTGTTTTCCTAGCTCTCCGGCGCTTGCTTAGTACTTCATTTGCCTGTCGTAGGTTTTGGTTCTCTCCCTTTAGCAGTGCTAATTGATGCATTATTTGCGATGCACCCTTTGTAAACTGGTCAACAGCTGCATAGATTGAGGTTGGAGAGCTATTTTGATGGCGTGAAATCCGAGTTTTAATAAATGTAGACTGTGACATAGCTTCAATTGGGTTGTTTGGTGTCTGAGAAACCCAAGGTTGAGCAGTACCTGGGCGGGAGCTTGGAGGCGTTGGTGTCCTTAACTTAAGATCAAGTGTAGATATCACTCTCTCAGGGTCAAATGGAAGAAGCCCTGCCCCTCGGAACCCGCCTCAAATGTTACTTTCCGTCATTGTAGTGTTAAATGCAGCGTGGAAGGCAGGAAAGAAGTCATCCTTTGTAATATGAGAAATATGAGCCTGCATCATATCTTCAATTTGCCGACCATAGGCCTGCTTTAACGGGCCGAAACAGCCAACATCAAGTGGCTGGAGTAGATGAGAAGAGTGAGCAGGCATACAAAGCGTAATAATGTTGTGTTCCTTGCAGTACTCCTCAAACTCATCTGAGTGGTGGCTCTCATGACCATCAAGGACTAACAAGCGATAACCACCAACACTCCGGGCCTTTGTATGCTTCTCAAAGTGCTGAATCCAATCCATGCCTCTCTCGTTTGTAGTCCAGCCATTTTCAGTAACAGAAATCACCCAATCGCTTGAAAATCCACTATTCTCATACCAAGATGTAAGGTGGTTTTTGCCTGCAACAATGATAAATGGTGGTACTGCCCAACCTTGAGAACTAACGCCTTGGATTACTGTAACCCATTCCTGATTACCAGGCTGTACCTTCTTTGCTTTTGCCCGCCCGTCTGAGCTTGTTACAACCATAGCAGTTGAGATAACGCCCATCATAAACCCAGTCTCATCAAAGTTGTAGATATCTGCTTCATCGATACCATATTTCGCAATTGTGTTACGCACAAGCTCAAACCAGCCATTAATAACTTCTGGATCTTCGCACTTAGCCCTCTGGTAGTCGTATTTGCGCTGAAAGCGTGTCTGGAGCTCTACACGCCGCTTAACAAAGTTTGAAGCCCAACGCGACCCAACGCGTGACGCGTCGCGTGTTGCAAGTAGTCAACTTGCCATATCTTCAACAACAGACAGCCGAGGAGGAAACCCTTTGGCAGCTAGGTCGAGTATATACTGAACAAGGACGGACTCCTCTAGGTTAGTTAATTTCCGTGAGTTGGCTTGGATATCGCGTCGTGAAGGTACACCTTCTAGACGACGACCTAGCTTGCGGTGGTCCACAGAATAGATCCTAGCAGCAACTCGAAGGCGTAACTTTGGGTCGCTTTGCATAGCCTGGATAGCTAGCACTAATTGGCTTTCATCGTTTTTATGGGGCATGTTTTGTTGTTGAGGAATTTAACATTTAGTTGGGGGGTTTGGTCACCGCATCATTTTGGCGCTTTCGCTTGTTTGGCGCTTTCGCTATACATGTACGTTATGCGCTTTGTAAATAATCGTGATTATGATTACGACCTAATAATCGTAATTGATTTTCTAACTTCGCTTGTGTGATTCACACAAGCGAAGCGATCACTGAACTTGCCACCTAAAATTGAGAAATTTACAAGATAATAACTCAACAACTTCATAATATATTCTAAAAATGTGTGTGTATCCTTATATATACACGTAGATTCCTTTATTTTAAGCTTTAGCATGAGGAGGGGCGGGGTGTTCACGATGAGGAGGGAAGGAGGGAGGAGTAGCTGTGTGATGGCACGAGGGGATGAGGGTGCCAGGGACGATAGACGACAAGGGAAGGTACTACTCCGTAGTCTCGAGCGCAATCATGACCACGATATCGACACGATATCGACCATGGCCACGACCACAACGCGTGCATCTCGCCTTGCCAAGACACCGGTCTCAACGCGACCACGTGGATTGCAAGGGCTGCGGAGGGTGGGAGATAGCACCGTGGTACCTGTGCAGGACGGCTCATCGAGGGGGGGAACGTGTGTGCGCGACGGCACGAGAGAGGGGCTGTCCAAGCCCCCTCTACCCTGTAGAAGGGGTTTGGAAGGAGAGGCTGCATGGGAGGCTGCATGGGAGGCTGCATGGGAGGCTGCATGGGAGGCTGCATGGGAGGCTGCATGGGGGGAGGGATGGGGGGAGGGATGGGGGGAGGGATGGTGAGGGAGAGGGGGGCAGGAGTGAACGTGGTGGTTTGTGGGGTGCGAGTGGGTGGGATGAGAGGTGGCCGTGGGGGGGTTGGGTGGGGGAGGGAGGTGGTGATGGGAAGTGTCACCGCCGAGATGAGGTGATACGTTTGGCTTCTGTTTGACTCACGGCTCTGGTTGCCTGGGTTTAGGTGTCAGAGTTGTTGGCAAAGTCTTGGAGTTGGGGTTGGACGCGGAGGCGTGGTGCAATGGTAGGCTCAGCGATAGTTCCTTGGCTTGGCTCTCATTTTGACTGACCTCATCTTTCTTGGCTTCAATCCTGCACAACATGTCGTCGCTTGGCTTCACTCCCGCCGGGTCCTGACTGAGTGACATACTTGGATGAGGAGGTCTTGGAATTGCGATACGAAGAGAGGGGTTGAGTGTGACGAGAAGGCTTTCGCGTTCATCGCACAGAGACAGAGATAGGTATGGCGCAGGTACGCGGAGTGTGGGAGGGATATACAGTCATAATCCGTTAAGTCGATAGCTCGGGTCCCGTAAATACCATCGAGATAGCGTAAATATCGAGATATCAAACGTATTTTGGTAGTGGACAGGGGGGATGTGGCCAGCAAAACGTATCGACTTAACGTGAATCGCGTATCGACTTAACGGATTATGACTGTATTGAAGAACGGCGGTGGTGGGTGGTAGTGTGCGTCGGGTCGTGAGAGCGAATAATCTCGCCTTGTGGTCTGTGAGGGAGCTGAGATGGGGGGGGAGGGGCGGGAGGGAGGGGGAAGTAGAGAGGGGGAGGGGGGGGAGGGAGGTAGAGCGGGAGGGAGGTAGAGCGGGAGGGCGGTAGAGAGGGGGGGAGGGGAGGTAGAGCGGGAGGGAGGTAGAGAGGGAGAGAGGGAGTGGCGTCTCGGGGGTGGTGGTGGATGGTGGTGGATAGCGCTGGTGGTGGATGGTGGTGGATAGCGCTGGTGGTGGATAGCGCTGGTGGTGGATGGCGCTGGATAGCGCTGGTGGTGGATGGTGGTGGATAGCGCTGGCGGTGGATGGCGGTGGATGGCGCTGGTGGTGGATGGCGCTGGATGGCGCTGGATAGCGCTGGGTAGCGCTGGGTAGCGCTGGATGGCGCCCATCGTCCACAAACCCGCAACCCAATCGCAGCTCCGTCTGACGCCACGCCCCTCAACCTCACATCCCCATCCCCCCTTCTCCCCTTCCCCCCTTCCCCCCTTCCCCCCTTCCCCCCTTCCCCCCTTCCCCCCTTCCCCCCTTCCCCCCTTCCCCCCTTCCCCTCTTCCCCTTCCCCCCTTCCCTCCTTCCCCTTCCCTCCCTTCCCCCCACTTCCCCCCACCCCTCCCCCCTTCCCCCTTCCCCCAACGACCAACGACCAACGACAGTTCTACTCCCACTACTCCGTACCCCGTACTCCCAATACCCAAATCGCGATCCACCTCAACTGCGATTGACTTCTATTTGCCACCACCCACTACAATCCTCTAGACCATCTCGCACTATTGACAATCCGGACTGTGCCCCTAAAGCTTCCGCATAGACAACACCTCGTCTCCCACCTTCTGCTCATAATAATCCCACGTTCCTTCCTAAACTGCATCTACTGGGTCGTTCACGCCCTACCTTCCCCCCCTAGTCCACAAGAAAACCCCCAACCCAACGAACCCTTTGAGCTAGCCTTTTCATCATCACGCCACCACTGATAGAACCCATAATCCGCAGCTCAAGACGAAAAATTAACCCCACCCAACCCGCCTCTTCGCGTGGAAAATAGACACCAGGCGCTGTCCCGAACCGACTTCATCAAATGGCGCTCAAACCCTATACGCTCCTCTTTCCTTTCTTTTTCATCCAGACGCGCCAGAGCCTGGTGCTGCGTTACTCTGCCTACATCTACATATAAGACGCAGCGTTGCAGATCTACTGTCAGACATCAATAGTCATGGCTGTCTATGTTCAACATCTCCATCATCACTTCCTGTGAGAAAGGCAGAGCGGCGCCTTGCCTCCTCGACGTCTGACCCTGCTGCTCAAGCATCCGGCCACCACTGCAGAAAACAGAAAACAGAAAACAGAAAACAGAAAACAGAAAACAGAAAACAGAAAACAGAAAACAGAAAACAGAAAACAGAAAACAGAAAACAGAAAACAGAAAACAGAAAACAGAAAACAGAAAACAGAAAACAGAAAACCGCTCACAATGTTTCCCGCCATGGCGGATCCCAGGAGCGGGAATGTCTTCGCAACATGGCATCTCTTCACCCGCTCCGAGAAGAAGAATATGATGATCTATATGGGAGGAATTATGATTTATAAATTCGGCCTCGAAGTCTTTATCGGCTCCTTCATCTCGCTCGCATCGAATCGCTACGACTACGCCGCCCGCATCGGCGGATATACGCCTGTCACCTTCGGCCGCATTGGCCTGCTCCAAGGCCTCAACCAGGCCTTCCAGTGCTTCGGCGCCATCCTCGTCGCACCCCTAGTAAAGCGTTGGGAGACACGCATTGTCCTCTCCGTCGCCATCCTCGTCTTCGCGGTCTTCACCACCGTCATCCTTATCGTCGACGCTGCAACAGGTGGAACCTTCAAGCCCGCAGGCGCTTCGAACGACGACTTCTCCTATTATGGAGACTTCAACACCGACGGCATGATTCCCGTCTACTGTATAACCGGTGTCGTCTACGGCATGGTCGAGCTCATCCGCCGCGTCATCCCACGAGACATTGTGCGCTCCGACGGTCAGTCTGATATGTCTCATCACTAACACCACTCCCACTGACATTCCGCAGTGCAAAAGCTCAGACGCCTCGACGCCACCGTGCACATCTTTTACGAAGTCACCGGCACCGCCGGCGCCTTCACCACCGCCCTCGTGCTCATCCCCCACCTCGGTAACAACATGGCCATCATCGTCTCCCCGTTCTGCTTCGCCGGTGCCGCGGTCGTCTGGTCCTTCATCTCGACCGCCGAGCACCCCACTACGGCCCCCAAACTCCGTACCGTCAACAGCCCCTCCTATCTCTCCCTCCTCTACCAATCCACGCAACTCTTCTTCGTCTCCATCAGCACGGGAGCCCGCATCCTCTTCACGAGCCGCAAATTCATCTGGCTCCTCCCCTCCTACTCCCTCGCCCTCTACGCCCACCGCTACCTCGAGAACAACATCGCCCCGCTGCTCGCGCAGCGCTATCTCCACAACTCCGCCTGGGCACAGCTCATCGTCGGCGGATCGAACTTCGGCGAACTCCTCGGCGCGCTGTTCGTCTTCTTATTCACTAATCTCGTTACCACGCCCATGCCCTGGTTGCGCCTGGACGCCTGCGGGCTGCTGATCGTGTGGTACCTCGCCTTCTGGCATCCGACGCCCGGGCAGGTGGGTCAGGCGTGGATGGTCGCGGCGACGTTCATCCCGGTATCGTTTGGATGGGCTGCGGGGGATATTTCCTTATCCGCCTACCTACAAGCAATGCTACACCGACAGGAGCACGAGCGCAAAGACGTCAGTGCGCTGGTGACGGTGATGGCGTTCCTCTACTCGACATACATCGTCACCTACTCCATCTGCTCGCCATTACTGGGAACATACATCGACAAAGTCTCAGCAGCGAATGGCGGGGACGTACACGAAGCCATCAAGTACGTCGGAGGTGTGCAGTTTACCATCATCTCGTGCACCGTGCTCGCTGCCACATTTATTCCTAGGGGCTCCTTCGCCCTTAACCCTGATATGCTTGAGGGCGAGGACCTGGAGGCGTATCGGGCGCGGGATATGGAGGAGAGGCCGCCGCCGGTGAAGCAGGAGAAGGTGGTCAAGACGAAGGAGGAGAAGAGGGAGCAGACGGAGAGTATGAAGGGGTTGAAGGTGGGGCACGACGATTGGTTTATGGATTTGTGAGGACGATGGATATATAACAACCTTCACACCTTTCGCCACGGACCCCCTCGATACGAGGGGGTCGGGTATATACAAGTATAATGGGAGCGGATTCAACTCGGGAATAGAGATAGATATTGGGCTGGAGCGATTTTGGGAGGGGGATCAACATTTTTTGGGGCGTTGGATTAGCGATTTTTTTAGGGGGGGGATTGGAAGTGGGGGGAGCGACGTGTATGTTTAGGGGGGATACACCTTTTGAGAGATACCAACCAGGCGTAGATGTGTTAATGAAAAAGAAATTAATAAATTCCAAGATCTGAGCGAGATGGTGCTTGTGTGTCTTGATATCTTCTGTGTGGCTTCGTACCCTCGTGGTTGGTTATCCCCGTACCACTTCTCATAGAGAAAATAGACACAAATACTCCTCTTACTCACGCATTAGCCAGGCAAAGATATTAATTTGTGCGTGGATATCAGTTCTTGTGACTAGCGCACGTGAACCACAAGAATACCCAGCCAAGGGAGAGTGGGGTTTGGTGGGGGTTGGTGGGGGGTTGGTTGGGAGGAAGAGCCGTGATATCCACAAGCGCAGCCACATCCCTCCTAGCATGAATCCTTGGCAGCTTTCTCGCGGCACCCCAGCCTCTTATACCACGTTTTGGATCGATCTTGTTGTTAGCGCAAAAAAGGAATCAAATGCTGGAGGGGGGCGGTATTTATACCTCGTATGGAGGTCCGGGAGCGGGTGATAAGGGTTGGGAAAGAGCGAGCGAGGTTGGATATGGGAAGGAGCGAGTCGAGCAAAGATGTAGGAAGGAACGGAATGGAATATATTGGAAATTGGAAGGAACGATCCCGGGGTATATTGGAAAGATATATTGGAAGTAACTAGTGATAATAAGTGGGAAGGAACGAGGGGCATCGCGAGAATGAGGGTGGTGGAGTGGAGTGGGTTTGGCGCAGAAGTTGTCAGTCAGGCAAGTCTCCGTCACTCAGGGCCAGCGCATCGTCGAGTTGGAAGTAAATATCATACTCCTGCACGCGGGGATTGGCGCGTTGAGAGCTGACAACGCATCGATGGTTCTCGTTAAAACCTGCGGGGAAGATGAGCTCCAGGATGTGCAGCTTCCTGTCGCCGCGGCCCCATGGAGCTTCTCACGATAACCCGTTTACGTGGTTTGCGATTGCACTTCATCTACAAAGACTTTCGCGATCGATTTCCTGTCTGGAGACTCTTGACCCGTGCATTATCCGTGTCTAACTCTACAACTTACTAATAGATCAAACCTCCCAAGTACCATGGAGATGGCGGGGAGATCACAGGAGACATAGTATCTTGAGTCCGGCGAGGAAGCTTATAAAGAGCGACTAAAAGTGTGTTGGAAGGGCTGCGCCAAGAGACGGAGAAGAAAATGCGCGGACTGAGCGGCTCAAGAGCAGTCTTCATGATCCGTCTCAGAGAGCCCAGGAGCAATCTTGCAATATATGTTCCGTTCCGCTGTCATATGTCGTTGCTGTCACAGATTTTCACAATCATTAATTTCTGTCATGGTTGGTTCTTACCGTCGTTGATTCCTGCTTCCTGTCATTTAACGTCGAGCGAACGCCTACAAGGCCCCTCCCTCCCCTTTGATAGACGCCGCGCGCTCAAATAGTCGCAATCAGACACCATCTCTTTGCGGGAAGTTGCTGCCCCGTCTTTGGAAAATTGGTGCAGGTTGCATCGTAAATATTCGTATCGTAATATGTGTGGAATTCTCACTCCGTGCCCGGCATAGGGATGGCGATGCCGCCGAGGCCGCCAAGTGCCAACCTGGCGCCAAGCTCAATATCGCCCAACTGAGAAGATAAAAGCTGGGCACCACTCCTCTGAGACTAGCTCGGGAGCAGAGTTTTCTACTATATAACTTAAAGTAATTACAGTAGTTAGATTAATAACATATTGAACCTGGTTGACACGCCCGTAATTATCATTATTCTATTCTTACGGACCACTACCTAAGTTCTACAATATGGGTATGGGCTTCGTATTAAAATCTGTCTAGATTTTGTGCTGCGTCGGTCCCATCTAATATTTCTGCCTTCAGGACTAATTTATAGTGGTTTCCGTAGCTACTGCACATATTGTACGTCGTCGTTGGACATGGATAAATACGACGAAGGTCCGAATAACCTTTACGCGCCGGCCAAGGTGGGGGAGTATGCCCATCCTCTCGGTCACAGATCCCAAACAACCATAATTCCAGACTACACAAGCCAACACATACCCGCAAACCACCTCCATAATTTATCCCATCATAATTACACATTTCGGGATTCAGTCCAAAAACGGCGGCGTGCTGTCCAAGGCGGATGCGTGGGGGAGGGGTAAAAGAGGCGAAATATTTTGCTGGGCTACAATGAGTTCTCAACACTAGATGTGGCTATGCCTTTTCAGTAATATTATTCGATAGAATGTTATTAATTGATTTAAAATGCATTCTAGGAAAAGAAGCTTTGATAATTACTGTAGACAATGAAATGTGGCTATAGAAGTGACAACTCGCGACCTATATCTGGCAACTGACCCCAATTCCGTAAGCAGAGTAGATATCTAATTGTTAATTGTGATAACTTGTTTCGTTTCTTTGTGATAAATATCACTGCCATTGCTAAACACCCGCTCTGATGGGGCAGATGTTGCTGAAATTGCTAGATGGTCTCGAGCAACTTGAGCAACTATTGGATACTGATATTGCTTTGAAGACCAATATTTAAAGATGTCTGTATGCTCACCTGGCCGTGGTTCAAGCATCCACCGTTTCCATTCTGGCTCTTCAAATGATATGCCTTCTGATGCAAATAAGTCTTCATCAGAATCTGGCTCTTGTTCTCTGTTATTTGCATTTCCTAATGCAAATGAAAGTGCTGTTTCATGTTCAATGCGCTCTGTATCAAGATGATATTGTCGTGTCTTGTATTTTCTGCAGACGTCTTCAAACTGAGCTCTTGCCCGTGATCTTCGTATATCATCTATACTGTCTGGATAAATCTTCTTAAATACGATAAGTTGTTCAAGATCCTTAATAATGGCCCAATCTTCTGTAGTTAATGCAATGTCTTGCATACTAATATCAAGTTGCTGCATTGTGCAAACTGCTGTAATTGGTATTTGGAGGTTTACTGCTGTATGAAGCATATGATATGTTGAATTCCAACGCACGGGCATATCAAGTGATAACTGCTGTGGGCTTAAGCCTGCTGCTTTAGTTTGCCGTTGTAAAGCATCCTTCCATGCTCGTCGATTGCGGAATACATAAATATGCCTTCGTAATTTTGCTAGAGTGTTCATAACCTCTACATGAGTATCTCTAGTATGTGGAATCCGAGCTGCACCTTGCTCACACTGGTATGCTTCTGTCTCTGTATCTGCGTCGGCTATTAAGCTCTTAAGAGCAGCTTGTACTGCAATATTTATAATATGTGCAATGCACCGAACGTCGCCTTCTTTAACAGTAAATGTCCAACAGAATCACTCTACGATTGCTACAATTTGTGATCCTCGGTATAATTTCAATGTTTTCAATATCATATGGAAAGACAGTACACAATCGATCAAAAAGAACAGGGCAAAGGCACAGTGGCAGGACTGCTTCTATCGATATTCAGGCCGCGAGTCTGATATTCGAGCAGCAAACGTTATTAATAGTATCGAAGATGAGGATCTAGATCCAGAGCAGCAAGCTATGAGTATCGATATAGACTCAGAAGACGAGCTATACGTATCGCAAAGCCATCACGATACTGAGCCAGAATGGAAGCGATGGATGAAGGAGCCGACGGTTGGTAGGAACACAGATATTCTCAAATATTCAGAGTAAGCAATTCCAATATCCGTTGATTGCTTCTATAGCAAAGGACCACCTAGCTATTCCAGCTACCTCAGCGAACTCGGAACGAGTATTTAGTGTTGGCGGTGATATTATCACAAAGAAACGAACAGATTATCACCGTCTACACTTAGATATCTACTTTGCTTACGGAATTGGGGTATTATATCACAAGGCGACGACGAGGACAGCGGCGACGATGCAGATAATGAGAGTTGTTGAGATCAGTGGTGTATCTGTATCTGCAGCGGCATAGTTATCACGTTGAGTTGAACAACAGTTCACTTGAATATATGTTTTGTATTGTTGTTCTGAGTGAAGCTATCTACGGAACTATTTGTGGGTGGTCCGCAACCCGATTCGGTTGGCGAGCCACACGCCTAACCAATCAGTCTGAGCAACCTCCTCCTTCAACAAGAGTTAGAATAGTAAATACAGTCAAATTCTATTTTATATGCGAGTACTACTCACGGTATTCGAGTACCGGTATTCGAATACCGGTACTCGAGCTTCAATTTTGAGTACTCTACTCGAGGATGCTCGAGTAGTACTCAGAGCGGTATTCGGGCAACACTGGTTTCAAATACTAATATCATTGAGTTCGAAAATAAAATATGCTCTTATTAAATATAACAACTATTAGGATGGGTTCACATTCAAAGCACATTTCTTTATCTTAATTTATTGACTTATTTTATTGATTTGAGTACAACTAATTCAAAGTACACCTCTCGCTTGAACTAAAAAACTCCTTTCAACTCCCACTTCCATCCATTTACATGATCTCAATCTTGCGGCTCTCATGCTTCTTCGCCTTGGGAACCACGACGCTCAAGATCCCATCCTTCATCGATGCGGTAACTCCATCCTGGTCAATGCGTCCTGGGAAAGTGAAGGCACGCTCAAACGAGCCAACGCTGCGCTCCGAGACCCAGAAGCGCTCCTCGGGCTCCTTCTTCTGCGCCTTCTCTGGCTGAGCCGATTCTGGAGCCGCGACGGAAGTGGCTGACTCACCCTCCTCGTCCTCGATAGTTGCGTGGCGGCCGCTCTTTGGCGAGGTGGTGCCGCATTGAGTGATAGCAGGTGCTTGAGCCCCGGCCTCAATGGCGGCGGGCGGGGTACCGGCGGTGTAGGAGCGCTCAGTGCGGCCGCGGATGCTCATTGTCTGGGGGTCCGTGAACTCGATAGTGACATCGCGTTGGTTGATGCCGGCGAGCTCGCCGTGCAGCTCAAAGTGGGTTGGGATCTCCTTGACGTCGAACTTCGGGACAAAGGTCTTCTCAGCGCGCGCGATTTGGCGGGTTGTCTGGCGCGAGTAGGTATCGTAGTCGTCGAGGAGGCGGAAGAGTGGGCTGAATGTGGAGGCGGATGGGGCTGGGGGGGAGAAGAAGGCGTGTGGGTAGAAAGACATTGTGCGTGTTTGTACTTTGGTGAGTGGAATTCGCTTTGGTAGTGCGCGTTGAATTGTTCGAGATTGCATGAAGATCTTGATGTGTTTTGATGATGAAGAAAAGCACTTACTCGGTGTGTTCACGATGGTTATATAGACTAAACTTACATTTGCGAGAATATTCTATGATATTCTATGACATTACTAGAATATCGAGCGATCATTCTAGAGGCATCGATATCTTTGTCAAAGGTAGCAATCGCGGGCGTCACGATCCAGCTGATGCTAGAATATTCCGTGAGGCGAAGTTAGTAATCACGTGAAAAGGCACGTGATACGCACACGTGATCCACCGACATGTGGGGTCAAATCTTGTTAGTTTTATCTCTTCTATTCACCCCGCATGAATGCAGATGTTCACCATTGCCACGTCTGCGCACGTTTCTTATAGTCCAGTATCTGAATGTATCTGTACGTAACACTGGATGGAAAGGATTCATCCAAGCGTCCAGACCAAGAGTGATCCTGCAGCTAAGTCCGCGCTACTTTATGCTACAACGCCGGCTCCGAGCACCCACCACCGCCTCTCTTGTTCGATCTTAACTAGAACGCCCAGCCGGGAAAATAATCCGCCTAAGACTGTAATCTTAGATTATCCTCCGCGCCGACAAACGCCCATGTCATTTTTGGTGGAGGGCAGAGCGGATTTGTGATTGCCAACCGTTTGAGCGAGGATCCAAATAGTAAGCACAGTTGTATTGGACAATTTCCGTAGGATCTGTAGCAGTAGGTAGAGAACATAAACCGTAAATACAGTCACGAAGCAGTAGAGCCCGAAATGATAATTTTGTAATGCATATTCTTATAATTGAAGCTATTCTAACTACTATATATACTGTTCCGGGCCCTATTCCTGTGCCTATTCGTGGCTCGGATCCTGAAACCCTCCTGGTTTCGGTCCGTTCCCTAGAGCTTCAGAATCGAAACTTCAGAATCGAAACTTCAGAATCGGAAGACCTAGGATCCGGAGGATCACGAAGCTGGCTGACACAGCTTCGGTATCAGGGCTCTGATCCCTGCTTCCGGGTCAAGGATTCAACAGTTGAATTTTCGATTGCATAGGCCTTGCTCGGTTGCTTATCATACTTTGACAACAACCCGAACAACCCGGCCCAGCTGGACCCATCAAGCGCGGCAAACTACCGTCCGATCAACATGTTTAACGTCTCGTCTGTGCCACAGCCCGGACTTGGCGGACGTGTTTCCGGGGCATTCGCCGCTTCCGTTGTTGGAGGTGGCTCCACTGTCAACGGAATGATGTTCTTCACCGCCCCGCGTGCAGACCTAGTTGGTACCCAGAAGGCACTATACGCATCCCCGCTGCAGCTTCCTTTTGGATCGGGACGCCAAGTTCAGCCCATGCTTTCCACTGGACCTCTGCGATAGCTGATCGTTGTTAGTTGGTACCCAGAAGGCACCATACGCATCCCCCGCTGCAGCTTTCTCCTAACCCATAATCTCCGACATATTCTAACTCTTCGCAGAGGTCCAGTGGAAAGCATGGGCTGAACTTGGCGTCCTGATCCAAAAGGAAGCTGCAGCGGGGGATGCGTATGGTGCCTTCTGGGTACCAACTAACAACGATCAGACCTACCGCCGCTCATACGCACGCAGCGGTTACTACGACCCTGTGGCCAGCAGAAAGAACCTGAAGATCATCACCAGATACAGGGCCAACGAGGTTCTCTTCAGTGCTAAAAAGCACGCTGAGTCGGTCACGATCCAACAAAGAGGCACAAAGCAGGAGATTGTCCTCTGTGCCGGATGGTTGCACACGCCACAGGTTCTTCAACGTTGTGGCCTCGGACCGAAGGACCTCCTGGATGAAGCTGGCATCAAGCAGATTGACGATCTGCCGGGTGTAGCCTCCAAGATCACGCCGTGACGGACATCGTATACACCTGTAAGTGACACCTGGATTACCCCCTCGAACCTTGATCTTAACACCATACAGATGCGACGGATCTCAGGCCGAACCATAGCTCACTTTACACAAATGCGACCTTCGCAGCATGGGCTGCTGGGCAATGGCTTGACCATAAGGGTCCCCTCTCAGTTGGCGTTGGGAACTCTCTATCTGTCCCTTACCTCCCTCAGATGAGCCCCAACTACAAGTCTATCATTGCCAAGGCGCAGGTCCAGAACGCTGCCAAGCTGCTGCCCTCTACCTACACATCTGTGAACGTCAAAGGCTTCGTCGCGCAGCGTCAACTCCTCCTCAAGACCTTCAGCAAGCGTAACAACGGCGTCGTTTAAATCACCTTCTCCGGCGGTGGTATCTCCTCGCTAAGCAATGAGAAGCCCCTGAGCCGCGGAACTGTGTGCCTAAATACGACAGACCATTACGCTGAGCCGATGGTTAACTTCAACACCCTCATTAACCTCACCGACACTGACATTTCTTGGTCGAGTCTCTCAAGTTTGCTCGCAAGTGGTTCGCCACTGATGCGATGAAGCAGCTGTCGCCATCAGAGACGTCGCCGGGCGGAAACATCACTTCTGATGCGGATCTCGCGGCGTATGTCGTGCGGTCGATGGGCTCAACGGCGGCGCACAGTTCCGGATCTGCTGCTATGGCGCCTCGCCACTTGGCGGGTGTTCCCCATGATCCCGTCAACGCACACCTGTGCGACGATGTACCGAGAAGGCGGCAGGTTTGATTAAGAAGAGAGCAGCCTGAGAGTTTGGATACCTATAACTGCCCATATATGAGTTATAAAATGACATGAAAAACTAACCTTAAGAGAAAATATTGAGACTATCTCCATATTTATGAGCATATGTATTCCCACCATAATTATGCTCTTCCAGAGTGACCTGATTACTCCTTCGATTCTCCGAACCAGCCCCTAAACCCGGATCATAAATGTTCCGATATCTACCAATGAAAATGCACGTGCGTCAAATCTCCGGAGACGATCAATCCTTTTATCTTGACCCATCGCGCTTCTACTTCTCCTCCAACACAACACTTATAGACCACAACGCACTACGCACTTTCTCACCCTTATATATAGACTGACCCAGACCAACTGGCTCAGCCAAACGCGCTTACCAAGTTCTTCCGCCTCCATATATGCAATCTGAGCCTACCAATATCTCAAACACGATTACTCATACAATTCCGAAACGTCTTACCCAATCTTCTCAACATGGCTTTTCAGATCCAGGCATCGCTGCCCTCGCGGCAAGCTTGTATAGTGAGCAACCGCAGTCACTTGTCGGTGCTCCCGCGATCGTCCCTCTGCAATCCGTCGATGGCGGAGAGGGCGGCTTGGTGGGCGAATTGCCACGATTGAACGGGGTTCTGGAGGGCGATAACCTGCCCCACCCATCATTCAATGCGACCGCAGGAGGTGAAATTGATGAAATTGATCTAGGACCCGAATCCCCAAAGAATCAGAGAAGCGGTCCTGGATTCAAGGTAACCAAGAGCAGAACAAGCAGCAATGATGGGATCCAGCTGGAGCAATTCCCCAATGGTGAGCCCAAATGCGCGCGCAAATTACGAGCGCTAGCTAATACCAAGCAGAGGTTCTGACTCACATATTGTCGCATTTACCCGCAACATCTCTGTCAACGGTATTACTTGTGTCCCGGAGGTTCTATAATCTTGTTACCACGCCCCACGCCTGGCGCATAGCATTTTCGCGATTCTTCCCTGGACAAGATGCCACCGATGAAGGGTACGCCGCGCGCAACAACCGCCGTAGCTCTGATCAAGAAACCCGTGATCGACAACGCGCCGAGCAGCGCTTCTTCGCACGCCTGACAGCCCTTGCATCATGGCGCAGCGAGTACATTCTTCGGACGCGGCTTCTGCGCTCTCTCGCTCGCGGCAAGCCACAGCAGATCGCGAAAGGACATGGCGCGTCATCTCGCGCGAATAGCGCGGCGAACAATGCGAACGCAGCTGTGACGTATAACTCGCAGCTGTTCACGACTGTGAACCATATCCACGCCGTTTTTGATAAAGGCAGGAAGTCTCCGAGATTCATTCATGGAAGCGATGAGACGGGTACGGCTTGCACGAGTGATCCGAATATTGGAAAAGTTGACACTTGGGGCTTGTCCGACCCACAGGCAGTGCCTCAGTTTGCTGATCTGTTCCCGGGCGACCAGCCGTATGGTCTTGGAGACGGATCGGTGATCGGTGCGCCGAATGTCATGGATGTTAGCCAGCCGTTTGGAATGGTGTGCGGCGAAGGTTTTCCAGGGGGACAGGCCTATTTCCGCTCATCAGAGGAGATGCGTGGTAGGTTCCTTGCTCGCACGGCTGATTACGAAGTTCATCCGCCAGAGGTCCCCAAGGTGCCGAGCCGTTTCGAGTCCGTATCTTCCGTATGGATCGCGAAGTCCATTGCCGTGCCTTCGATGACAGATGGCCTCGTGGGAATTATGACGGGTTCTTCATGCGGAATCATCACGACGTATTCATTTGGCGTTGACAACCTAGATGGGCATCGATTGGCCAAGGGGGGGGTCACAGCTCGTTGGGCGATTAGCCCGGGTGTTCCCATAATTGCCATTAGCGTGGACGACTCATATAATGCGAAGCGCAAGGAGTCGGAGCGTATCTGGGCAATGGCTTTGAATGCTCTAGGTGAAGTATTTTACTTGACCCAGGGCATCCAGCGGGCCCCAATCGAGAAAAATGCCAAGTTAGACGAAGAAAGCCTTGCAACGATGGCCTGGGAAACTGGTCGTAGCGTCTCTTGGAAGCTTGCTGAACCCACCCGCCGCGTCGCGCGTGAGGATCCATACCAAGATGCCGAGTTCGACGGGAGCTACTCGCCCCACTCCTCGCCCCACTCCTCTGGTCTTAGCAAGCAGCAACTTCTAGCAGAGAATCGAGAGCTCGAAACATTTTTTGCTTTCTGTCCTGCGATCTTCCGTAAAGTCTGCAATGGTTGGGACATGCGCCGCAGGCTTGAAGTCGATTTTGCGGGCGACGATGGACGCGGTGCAGGAGAGTGCGCAGTCATTATCCAGTGTGGTGCCCCTGAGTCGGAGCCAGCTCAGATTACACGCTTCACCCGTATGAGAGCAGAACAGGCTTCTCTCGACCGCTTTCCAACTCCGAAAACGGCGCCGGTTCAGGAGAGGGTGACTACTGTCGCTTCGCTCTTTGGTGGTGGAAAATCGGCTAGTTTGAAGGTTAAAGCGGCTGAACAGGCGATATCAATGAGCCCTGTTAAGCGGGATGGTGCATCTACGTTCTTGGAAGAGTGGAGAACCACTACATTGGCGTGGGACCGCGCGCAAGCCACCGAGTTTACGGCGAATGCGGTTGACATGTCGACGTTTGCAATTCTCTGGGTGCCAGAGGACCCGATTCTCACTATGAATGGCGGCAATACTGCATCTGCCATCTTTGCAACTGCAGAACATAGTGAAGGTAACTCATTGCACAATATCCCAGGCCATCGAGGCCGCTTTCTCACTGTCGGTACCAAGACCGGGACTGTTTATGTCTGGGATATGCGAGGCCCGCAATCTCGCAACTCGTCAATTACAAACACCCTCCAGCCTCTTCGCACCATTCAAACCGACTCTCCTCAAATCTCCTGTCTGGCCCTGTCAGCGCTATACCTCGTCCACGGCGGCAACGACGGGCTCGTACAAGCATGGGACCCACTTGCATCCGTCACAGAACCTCTTCGCACTCTCAACTCACGCTTCTCGTCGCGTGCCCGTCGTCGTCTAGTTCAGGCTGAGGCCTTAGTGCAGGGCGTGGGGATCAACCTCTACGCCGCCGGTTCGCTGGCACTAGACCCCGACCCCACAGCTCTCCGGGGCATGGTGACGCTCGGCACGCACCTGCGGTACTGGGCGTACAGTTCCAACGGCGCCGATTCCCACGCGAGTAAGAAACGCCGTCTACGGCGGTCGAGCGAGCGCGGCCACAATGGCGCGACTGATCGGTACACGAATACCGGCCGCGGCGCGCTGATGGACTATATCGTCAACGAGCAGCAGGAGCTCAAGCGAGAGGCTATCGCGCAGAAAAAGGAGCAGCTGCATCTGCAGTGTCGCTTTGGCGTTGGTCTCGCGGGGCTGACCGAGGAAGAGGCGCTACGATATGCGGAGCTGATGTCACAAGAGGCATTTATGCAAGAGGAGGAGCGGAGGCTCACTAGTGCGAGTGGCGACCGTGGCCAAGGAACACCCGAGCCGAGTCAGAGCGCTGTTAGCAGTACGTTTGGCTCACCTGCGCCGAGTGTTGCAGGGCACAATGCGTCGTCGCCAAATATGAAGAGCGAGATGGAGCTAGAGCGGGAGGTGGAGGAGGCGATCCGCCTATCCTTGCTTGAGAGCGAGGCTTCCTCGCAGCCAGGTAGTGCGAGTAGAAGCTACGACGTTCCTTTCGTGGTGAAGACAAAGAAGAGTAGGCACTCGGCGTCAACATCGCCGTCGACTAGCCAAGCGTCGAAGACTCGCCGCAGAAGGGAGAAACAGGCGAAGATTGCGATGGAGGAGTTGGATTATGCGCTTCAGCTCAGTTTGGCAGAGGAAGAAAGCCGAGCTATTGCTGCTGAATCGAGCGAGGAGTTTCCAGCTCTGGACGGAGGGGGGAAGGGGAAGGGAAGGGCGATGTGAGTGAGGCGAATAGAAGAGATGAGGGATAGCTTTTACTTCTTGATGGGCATTGTGCACCTTTTATTTGCTTTCTGGGGAGCGTTTAATAAAAGAGTCGTCTGTAGTTGAATCGTCTGTACTGTTCCATGAACTATCCGTTACCTTTCCACCTTAAATGTGAAGTGACGCCCACTCTACGGATGTATCCGTTTAGGTGCAATTCGCTCGCAGACACTACTTTATAGAGCCTGTGGTGTTTTGAAGCTAGGTGATTGGTGTTACAACCACAAGACTGGGGACCCCATGACGACTGGCTGTGCGAAATCCCGGTTTTAGTGGTCGGAAGAGAACAATCAATTCCAGGCCGAAAAACGGACGTATTAGGACACCAGGCACTTGGAAGCAGTGTTGTGAACCAGTAAATTTGTCAATGAGAAACTCGTTAGCTTTTTCAGGTCCTCGGTCATATCTATGGCTTTGACCTGACGCCTTCGATCTCCTGAGCGACCCTGACCTCAACTCCTCCATCCGCCATCCCAAAGTACGCCGCAACAGGCTTTTGTCCCCCTCCCTCCTCTCCCGAATTCGCAACCTGAATCCCATTCCGGCCGTGGAAAAGACCAACGTCCAACACGCCCACAATCCTCTTTAGCCTCCTTCCCAAAGCATGCACCTCCCACGTCCCCTTCGTGCCATCACCCTGATCGCCCTCTGCGAGGTCCTTCGTAAGCTTCAGCGCGGGGAAGGGTGCGTCGATAATCCACATCCCGTTGTCCGTAACGACGGGCCCTGCCTTTGCAGAGCCACCTTGTCGGATGCGTGGGTCGGGTGAGCCGAGGGTGATGAGCATGCGCTTGATGACTGGCGCGGACATAGGCGCGATCTCGATCGGGATGGCCTTCCAGGCTGTGAGTAGGCGGGGCTGTAGCTTGCGGTAATCTGTGCACGTCATGTTAGCATCCACCGTGACTCACATTTGTCAGAGAGGGGTATTCATACCAGCAACGCAAACAAACTTCTTCGCGCTCGTCGCTACCAATTTCTCCTGGAACAAACAAGCGCCGCCACCTTTAATGCAGTTCAGCTCCTCGTCAATCTCGTCCGCACCATCGAAAGCAACGTCCAGACTCTGGCGCATCCCTTTCAGCGCGAGGTCCTGCTCCCCAACCGCAAGCAGCTTCGACGATGCCTCGCTGATTGCGGGCGGGTTCTCGTGCACGGGTGGTAGCGAATCGATGCTCCCGAGCGGAAGCCCGGCCTCTATGATGATCTGCTTGGACTGGTCGCCTGTTGGCACGAAGATCATGTTGTTGGTTATGGCGCGACCCTGAGCAGCGATTGCCTCGACGACGTAGACTACGGTGCTGCCGGAGCCGATTCCGATGTAGCGGTAGGAGGGATCGAAGTGGTCCTCGACGGCTTTGAAGGCCGCTGCGCGCTTAGCGGCTTCGATAGTTGACAGGGCGGGGGTGTCTTGGGGGAGGACGTTTTCTGTCGCCATTGATCTGGTTTGTGTGGAAGAGCCTATACAGCTTGAGAAGTCTGTGGATTGGGGATTGGCTTTTGGTGAAGCAGCTTGGAAGGCCGTGAACCTACGAGAGACTGCTATCCGGCGGGCAGACAGTGGGACACTCAGACAACGTGGGGTAGCAAGAATGAGAATTCGAAAAGCCATGTATGTGCTGCGCTTACCATGCAGATGACGCCCCGACTACAGCCATTCGGGTAATTTACCGCACATTACACTAGCCAATATAGGACTAGGTGATTGTGCCCCGCATACTCGTGCGGCCCAAAAGTTTCCACAGGGTCTGTGCACAACAGCCAATTAGATTGTAGGAATCTACCAAGCACCATGTACTTGTACCCGAGTACACGCGTAGAAAATGTACACGCATAGAATATGAGAGTGAATGAAGCAATGAAGTAATGCTCAACAATGGCTGAAATCTCAATACCACTAGGTGCTGCAATTATTACCTTGCGTGTATACATGAACGCATCATATGGAGAGATTGAAAAGAAGCTTGGAATCTCAGCTGACTCTATTGCATATATATGGCACCAAACTGTTAAAAGGGCAGGGAATACTGAAATTCACAACCTTCTCCAACACCTCGAATCAAAGCCACAAAGCGGAAGACCACAGACAATTCAAAGGGATTCTGAAGAGTCACTACGCATACGATCTTTGCTACTTGCAAATCCATTTGACACTTTTCAACAAGTTATTAATAAGGAAAATCTACCCTACGCACGATCAATTGTCGAACGAGTTGCAAAGAATCACTCAAGTGTTGAAATTCCACAACCTATTGTACGGAAAAACATCTGCCTCAAGCCCTACTTGGATAATATCATTCCTTCAGTACGATGGAAATTCTGCAAATGCGCACTATCCGAACTTGAAGCTGGATCAATTTTTATTTTCTCAGACGAATCTTATATCAATTTCGGAGGGAATCCACATAAGAAACGACGGATAACAGTTCAACGGGGTCAAACAGCAGAGAGCATGGCAATTCAACAGAAGAAATCTTTATTTCAAGTTATGTTTTGGGGAGCAATGAGTTCAGAAACCTCTATCTTACGCCCTTCTCGTTCATGGATTCCTGAAAGTATAGAAGAGAAGCAGATACATGTGCAGAAACTACGAGAGATAAATGCATATTGGAAATCAAAAGCAGAGAATGAACTTGTTAGAGCAACAACAGTTGGAACTCTTGAGTACGGATATATGGAAACTCTAAATGCAGATATTCGGAATGGCAAAAGCAAATGGAAAAAGGCACGAGTTGCTTCACAAGAGTTTGGAGATATAGAGACATGGAGTAGAGGACAGCAATCAGAAGGGCAAGAAGTTTCAAAGGGCGGGATTGATTGGTTTCTATATCGAGAGATGGTTCTTATTCCTCTTCTCTTCCCCTACTTTCGAAAAGTAAAGGCTTTACATCCTACAAAACGAGTATGGTTTGTGGATGATAATGTAAGTCTTCATTTGAAGGCTCACTAATCATTGGAAGATTATATGAAGAAGGAGGGAATCTATAGAGTGAAATTTTGGCCTCCAAACTCTCCCGATTTGCACCCTATTGAAAATACCTTTGATTATCTCAAGGATCAGGTTGACGGCTATACACCATTAAACAGAGGGAATTTTGAGAGAGCTCATGCACGGGTATTTCTTGAGGAAGAATGGGGGAAAAAAATGGATGGGAAATCTACACAATTATGTGCTTCGTTTAAGGACAAGTTGGAGCAGTGTATTGCAGTCAATGGGGGGAACAACTTTCGTGGGTAGATCAGTACAAGTACGTAGAGTATGTACATGCATTTTCTCCAAGTACTTACACGCCCCACTTATTACACACAGACCCTGTGGAAACTTTTGGGCCGCACGAGTACCCCTCCTTTGGAGACAGTAGAGGGTTTCAGCCAGAATTGCATGGCATGATTGCATGCCGTAAGCAGTACGATCTGCGACCCCCCCTGTAAAACCCCTGTAAAACCCCCATACTAGTGTTACGACGGAACAAGAAGGCTGGCCAACTACAGGACAGGAAGGAGGGAGGTCGCATGAGACCGGCCCTGGTACCTGGAGGGGCAGCGGGGAATAGTAGTTCCGAAAGTATCACGTGACGGACTCGCAGGATGATGAGAAGAGTCCTAAGAGTCCAGGACTCCGAGGACTCGAGTGAGTTCCCAGGAGTCCACTAGGCACGTGATGGACTCGCAGGATGATGAGAAGAGTCCTAAGAGTCCAGGACTCTGAGGACTCGAGTAAGTTCCCAAGAGTCCACTAGGCACGACGCCACTATATAAGTAGATAGTATTTCCTTAGATAGGAGCTTCGTGCTCAACTCAATACAGTATTTGTTATATACTAGTAACGTGTTACTTGAAGCCTTTGTGTCTGATCCCCTGCCTCCTCTGATAAGTAAACCCTTACGCAAGAGAACCTCTGTGTCTTCTATCGTTTAGAAGTCAGCGTTACACTTTGAGCACCACTTCTACGAGGCACCGGCTTACACACAAAGCAACATGTCTGTCGTCAGTTCGAAGGGGAAAACCCCCACCACGCCAACTTCGTCTCAGAGGTCTAAGCCTGAGAATGAAGAGATGCCCGATGCACCCACCGTCAACGAACTCAAGGAAACTCTACGCGTCAAGTTGCCCGACACTTACTCCGGCAACCGAAAGGAACTTGAGGTGTTTTTGCTACAGGTCGAACTGTACCAGCACTTCAATGATGAGAAGTTTCCCACCCAGGAGAGCTATGCCCTGTGGACTGCATCCTACCTTAGGGGGGAAGCCCTGCGATGGATCGAACCATTCCTCAAGGACTATTTCAAATATGAAAGTACCAATGGAAGCATGACAACTACGCAGACTATGTTTGGCAGCTGGAATGGATTCTGTAAGGAAATCCGACGCATGTTCGGAGACATCGATGAGATTAAGACCGCAGAAGACCATCTGTTTGCACTTAAGCAGACTGGCAGCGCCCTCACATACTCCACAGAATTCCAGAGATACGGCAATCAGACAGGATGGGACGCCAGCGCACTCATCAGCCACTACCGACGTGGGCTGAAGAGCCATATACGTATGGAACTTGCCCGTTTGGAACAACAACCAACGGACATGGTAGCGCTAATCGAACATACGGTCCGAATCGACAATCGACTATACGAATTCCAGAAGGAACGTCGGACCTATGACAAGCCAAAGAAAAGTTACCCCTACCGGGGAAACGAGGGCAGACGACGGGATCAACACCCGCGAGACAACCGTTGGTCGGACCCAATGGAACTCGATGCCACGTTCAAACCTGGACGACCCCGTGACCCTAAGAAAGACAGACAATTCAAGGAACGACTCTGTTTTAACTGCGACAAGCCAGGCCACATGGCCCGAGACTGCAGACAGCCAAAGAAAGGGAACGGCGGACGCAAAGTCGGCAAACAACTCAATGCCACCTGGACAGGACAGTTGAACGCAACGTTTGTGAGCAAACAGGACTGGGGAATAAACGGCGAAAGCACCCCAGAAGACGAGAGCTCAGATGAAGGGTCGGAGGCGGAATCGTTCACCGTCTCGGAACAGGAGACCTTCGATGAACTCGCACCTACGGAACCAATGAGTCCACGGTGCAAGAACGTAGTAAGACGCATGGCAAAACACGCCCACGCGAAGATTAGGGCCGAACGAGACAAGCCCAATGGCCAGAGGAAAATCCCCATGCTTAAAGACCTCTACGGGAACCTGTTACAGGAAGTTCCGTTAAAATGCAAGGTGGACGACTGCAAGGATGACCTCTGGAGATACTACGACCAACTAACGAATACCCGCAGGCTGCTTGGCACGTCCCAAGACGTAGCTAAGTTGGAAGCCCAAGAAGCGGAAGAACTGGAGAAGGATGTCGAGCATATGGCTAAACTGAAGTATATGAAAAGCGTCGAAATTTACTACCAGGACCGCAGGAGAGCCCTGAAGAAGTACGACGAGAAAGCCAGAGATATGCTCCGACGGGAAAATGCGAGACCCACTCCACGCATCGAAAGGAGAGCCATGGAGCAACTAGACACGTTCTCCACGCCTCCGAGGGAAGATAGTGCATGGGTGAGAGGACAGCGGGAACTATCAATGACAGACGCAACAGAGACTGATCATCCCTGGCACGCGTATGTCTACTGGGAGTATTGCAGCGAAGATGATTGCAAGCTCCACTGGAAAAAGAAACACCAGAATCAGTTGTTTCCCCGATCCTCGCCCAGGATACACTTCAGAGACGCAGAGCAAGTTCACGCCCTCAGGCGAAGCCAGTCTGAAGGGGACTTGCCTATCAAAAGCGAACAGGTATACAAGAAATACCCACATCTGCTAGACGAAGCAGAAGAGCGAGGGAAACGATCTCCCCAAGGACCACCATTGGAAACGGATGAATACTATCCTTCCTCGGACGAGTCAAAAAACTAGGAGTCCTCGACGGTAGGCCACCGGCGAGCGACATGAAGAGGCCTAGTACAGACCAGCTATGCGCCACGACGGGCAGCATGCAACTATATGTGGTCGCTAAGATACAACAGCGACACCTCCGAGCAATGATTGACTCAGGAGCGACGGGCAACTTTATGACAAAGAAAGTAGCAGACACGCAAGGTTTCAAGACGCAATTGAAAACCGAACCATACCCGTTAATGGTCGTAGATGGAGAGCCCATCTCGACTAATGAAGGAATGGTGACCCACGAAACGGTCCCATTGGAAATGGTCATGCTACACGGGCACAAGGAAACGATTCAGTTTGACATCGTGCACATGGACAACCATGCGTGCATCCTTGGTGTGCCATGGCTCAAGAAACTCAACCCCCAGATTGACTGGTGGAACGAGAAAGTTGTGATGAGCCAGTGCGCGTGTGAACAACGGACGGACACGCGACAACGGGAGAAACCCTCCCAGGGCCGGAAGGAGTTATGTGCAACCTCCGAGCTCGATG